CTGCACCAGAGGCCACAACGGAGAGACCGCTGGAGAGAAGGAATGGCTTGGAGGAAGCCGGCGCACCGGGGCCTTCATGCCGCTAAAAGTGTTGCAGGCGAACGTAAACCACGCCCGCCAGGCACACGACCTATTGGTCCACAGCATGGCGGAACGTGGATGTGGTCTTGGGATAGTGGTGGAGCCACTGAATGTCCCGGACCACCCCTGTTGGACAGGGAGTACTGACAAGTCCGTTGCCATCTTCTGGCGGCGCGGCGCACCGGGGAAGAATATACCCCGTGCGTGCGAGGAAGTAGTGGAGAGGGGTGGGTGACAGTAAAATGGGGCCCCGTCACGGTGATGGGCATATACATACGCCCCAGCCTGACCCGGGCGGAATTAGAAGACCGCCTGGATGAGTTAGAAAGACAGGTCAGGGGATTGCTGCCCGGCCCAGTAATAATAGCGGGCGACTTCAATGCGGCGTCGACGCTCTGGGGGTCGAGGCGACAAAACGCAAAGGGAGCAGAGGTGGTGGCCTGGGCTAACCGCCTAGGCCTCCACCTTGAAAATAAAGGTAATGCCAGCACGTGCGTAAGACCCCAGGGGGAGTCTATCGTCGACCTGACGTGGACTTCCCCTGGGGCCACGAGGATGATCGACTCGTGGAGGGTGGCGGAAGATTTAGAGATTCTCTCTGATCATCTCCCTATCATCTTCGAGCTGACGCTGCCGGACGGAGACGGAGCGAGCGGAGACGTACACCAGCGACCCCCCAGGTGGGCCGTGAGGAAGCTGGATCCTGACAGGCTTCGGGCTTCCCTGACCGCGGAGACGTGGCTGGAAGAAGAGCCGGGCAGCGCAGAGGAGCAGGCCCTTTGGATCCGTGCGGCCATGACGAGGGCCTGCGATGCGGCCATGCCGAGGGCCGCCTTTAAGCCCCGAAAGGAGGTTTATTGGTGGTCGGAGGAGGTGGCCCTGCTAAGGAGGGCGGTGGTCCGGGCGAGGAGACAACTGCAGCGCGCGCGACGGAGGAGGGATAGCTCCCAAGAGGCAGTCGACTGCCTACTCGAGGAGTACCGGGCGGAGCGTAAGGCGCTCAAGCTTACGATCAAGCGAGCAAAAGAGTCCGCCTGGGAGGAATTGATCGCGACGCTGAACGAGGACCCGTGGGGGCGTCCCTACAAGCTGGTGTTGAACAAACTCAGCAAGGGGGCGCCCCCTACGGTGGAAGCGATAGACCTGCAATTCCTGGGGGAGGTAGTCAGGACCCTCTTCCCGGAGAACGCGGACACGGTAGCCCGGACAGGGGAAACCCCGGACGGGAGACACCCAGAGGAGGAGGAAGAGAACATATACGTAACGAACCTGGAGCTAAATAGGGCGGCGAAGAAGCTCAAGGCCGGGAAAGCGCCCGGGCCGGACGGCATCCCCCGTAGAGGATGCTAAAGCCGCTGGCGAACTCGATTAGTGTCGATAAGATAGGAGATCGCGTCAATTATCGATTATTTTTAGTTCTAAGTTCTACGTTAGATGTCGTTTTCGGCAGCAGTAAAGAAGAAGTTGGAGGGCAGACCTCTGATCTTGCATCCTTAGCGCGAGCTGAATGATAGAGAGAGAAAACATTACAACGGCTAATCCAGAGAGTGCGAGTGAAACAGCTACAAAACATCGCGCTATTTCTCGTCGCTCTAATATCTACTCTCGCATAGTTCGCTCTGTCTTTTTTCTGTCAGAAACTTGCTGAGTCGCTTGAATAGAATTTATATTGTTCATAGCTTTTTTGTATAATAATAGATATGCTAACTGTTCC